AAAATAGTCAACAACATCCAGATGAATATGATCTAGGATGATATCTGGAACTAGTTCTGAAAAGCCTCGGTGCATGATAAGTCTTCCTCAAGCTTATTGTTAGCCCAAAGATGTTGCATGTGTTAGAGAACTTGGTAATGAGATGTTGTAGGACATCAACACTGTGAGCCACAAGGCCGGCATCATCTGCAAACAACAGGTCCCTTATGATGATCTCCTTTTCCTTCATTTTAGCTCTAAGTCTTGCAATGTTAAACAGTCCTCCATCATGTCTAGTGCTGAGAGATACCCTCTTGAACATCATGGAATATGTGTTGAAGCAGAAACAAGAAGTAAATGTTAAACAATGTGGGAGCCAGTACACAGCCTGCTTCACTCTGTTGTTGTTGAATAAGCCAGACTCTTGGTTTTCAGACACTATAGTTGCCTGCATACCATTGTGTCAGGATTTCACAAGGTTCCGCAGTATATGTGAGCAACCAAGCTTCTTTGGAACAACATAAAGCCCTGACCAACTAACTGTGTCAAAGGCTTTTATTAAATCTATAAAAGTCATGTACAGTGGTATATGCTTCTCTTTGCACTTCTCCTGCAGTTGTCTTACAGAGAAGACCATATCTATGGTAGATACTTCCAGGTAGAAGCCACACTGGCTCTCAGGATAGATTCTCTCAGCTAATATTTGAAGTCTAGGTAAAAGAATATGCCTTAAGATTTTTCCTATCATGTTGAGAAGAGCTATACCTCTGTGGTTATTACAGTTGCTTCTGTCTCCTTTATTTTTATAGAGTTGGATGAAATGAGTGTCCTTGAAATCTTGCAGAATGGTTTCTTCCTTCTAACAGAGTGGCAGTACCTCATGCAATCTTTGCAGCCAGTCTGTTTGCACATTTGTAAATTTCAGCAGATAAACAGTCAGATCCTGAAGCTTTGTTATTGGGAATCTTTTTGATGTATTAAGTTCCTCTAGTGCAGGTTTGGCATCCAGTGAAGTCATAACTTCAAACCCAGACAATTTGTCTAGCACATATTGGTCTACTACAGACTCTCTTGAGTATATCATTCCATACTGCTCAATCCACTTCTCCAGTTGTTTCCCCTTATCAGTTATGATGTTACCATCTAGGTCTTTCAGTGGAGCTGTCTTGTACTTCATCAGCCCAATGGCCTTTCTGATACCCTCATACAACCATCTACTGTCACCTGCATCATCCGCTTGTTGGATGCTGTCACAGTGACCCAGCCAAAATTCTTGAGCACACCTCCTGGAAGCTGTTTGAAAAGTCTTACAAGCGTCTCTTAGGTTGTTGAGCGAATGAGTAGTAGGAGTAGATTTGTAGATGATTCGGGCAGTTCTTTTTCTTTCAATGAGTGGCAGCAGTACCTCTGAATGGTCTACACACCAGTCAATGTTTTTCTTTGTACTTTTTCCAAAACTCTTGATTGTTGCATTGTACATACTTGTCTTCAGGACTTCCCATGCATCTGATGCAGTTTCATTCATTCTGGCTGATTTTGCTACTTCTTCATTGAAAAACCATTTCTTGACAGGATCACTGATTCGGCACAAGTCAATACAAGGTTGTCTGGCAGCGTGAGTGACTGCTGCCTCCTGAATCTGAGGGGGGCACCCACAGAAGCCACCAACAGTGGTGGCCCTGTCAGGGTGGGCACCAGCCCTACCAACAGCATCAGTGTCAGCTGTCGGGGGGGCATGTGCACCCCATACTAGTCGTCTATGTCTGGCAGGTTTATTGTGGTAGAACTTCTTAGCTTGAAATTTCACTTTGCAGCAGACAAGGGAGTGCTCTGTGTCGCAGTCTGCACTTCAAAAGGATCCTGTATGCAGGAAATCTTTCAAGTGTGTACATCTTGTCAGTACCAAGCCTAGCTGATGCCAGTGTTTGGATCTCAGGTGTCTCCATGACATTCTTCATCTGATGTTAACAGCAAGGAAGTTCTTGTCAATGAAGAAGTAGCAAAATCAGCTGAATGAATGAAACTGCATCAGATGCATGGTAAGTCCAGGAGACAAGTATGTACAATGCAGCAATTGAGTTTTGAAAAAAGTACAAAGAAAAACATTGACTGGCTTGTAGATCAACATTGATTGGTGTTGGTCAGCAATAAGCCTTGACTGGCACAGAGCTCAAGAACTCCGACCACTGTCGTTCATATGTCCAGCGCCTTGCCTTGTGTTGATGCCCAGAGCCAGACCCTGTGAGCTGCACAAGGCAGCTCAGGTCTGCAACCCCACAGTGGGCGGCTGGGAATTTGGTGCATGAGTGTTGCATGGAGCCAGACCCTGGGAGCTGCACGAGGCAGCTCAGGTCTGCGACCCCTGGTGAGTGGCTAGGAACATGGTGCATGGCAGGTCCGGGAGCAGACCAGGAACTTGGGAGCCGCTTGAGGCAGCTCAGGTCCCTAACCCCTGGCACAAGGCCAGGCAGTGGTGCACAGCTGGTGCACGTAATGGTCCAGGAGCGGGCCAAGACCTTGGGAGCTGCTTGAGGCAGCTCAGATCCTCCAACCCCCTGGCATGAGGCCAGGAACCCAGCACATGGGCCTGTGCCTGGAGTGTCTGGAAACAGACAGAGACCCCAGCGCCGCATAAGGCAGCATGGGTCTCCTACCCTGAACAAAAGGCAGAGTCCTCGGTGCACGTGACAGTGCACAGGGCCTTGAGTGGGACAGATGGCCTGGAGAGCCCAGATCAACTGTGGGGCCTCACCCTGGAGTCATGAGTTACCAGGGAAGGGGATTCCCATAGGGGAGGAGGGATCTTCCCCCCCAGTTTGTGAGACTAGCCCCTAGAGAGAAAGTCTTGAAGGGGTGGGGCTCCCCGGGTTTTGGAAGTTCTCTTCCACAGCCGATATTCTGACTGGGGTAAGGAAGGCCAGAAGGGCACTGGGGATCTTATCCCCTCCTGGTCACCAGGGCACAGCAACTGCTGCAAACAGCCTGGGCCTTGGTGCCCTTTAAAGTGTTCATTTCTACTTTCATGTGCCTTATATTATGTAAACAGCACCTCATATTTTGTTCATTTAAGTACCTTGATTTGTTAGTTGATTTGTTGTTATAGAGCTGCTGTTGTATGACCCTAACCCTGGTTGGAACCTTCTCCTAACACTTACCTGTGTTTTACCTGAAGTTAGATATGTGGTATAAGGTCATATGGAATTTGCCTACAAGTTGATGTTCATATTACATACCTGTATATTGTATATAAATGTACATATGTTTATATTTATCTTTTACTAACTTGTATGTATTAATTAATGTGTGTGAATATAGTTACGTTTCAGACTGTCCTGGCCTGACTATAGGGACGAGGGAAACTATACAGCCTGCAGCTTCACCCACAACTGTACAGGCTGAAGCCTTATTAGTTTACGTGATTTGAGGCACACCTGATGATTCCTGACCATATGTGACATTGCTGGCCTTGTCCTCTGGGAATAATTCTTCAGTGCAGCAAAGAGGTAAGAGAACGGCCATCAGCATGCATGCAAATAGCCACCGTCAGTCTCAGTCTCAGTCCCCACTACTCTGGCCTAATAATCCCTTCAATTGGAGAAGGAAGTACATACCCGAGTACACCTGGGCTACATAGATATTAGTAGGAATACCTGTTTAACCCACCTGTCTATGCCTCTATTTTAAGTCTCAATCCTGCAAAAAATCTTGTTAGACCTTCTGATGGGAATGCTGCAGTGGTGCCTGAAGAAAAGATGGCAGCTTTTATGCTTTGAAGCCTCAGCAGTTGCACATGCTTTAATTTTACTGGTTTGACTTCACTGGGGCTACTAGCAATGAACAAGACTTTGTTGGATTGGGCCATATTGCCAGCTTTCCTTGAGGTGACCACTGCATCATCCTCCATGAGATGTTTAACTTTGCTCCAATTTGAGCAGAGGGCTGTAGGCATGACGCTCCGGAGCTGCAAGCTGAGCAGTGCTGTTTTTAAGGCCTGTGTTCTAGAAAATAAATCCCTCAGGTTGGTGAAATTTGAAAAGTAAACACTGGGTCTGTATCCCTTTGTACATACGCTGGGTTTTTAATTTGTAACCTGGAAAAGATAATCCTAGTCTTCAACACATGGTGCATGGCATTAGATAGATGGTAAATTTAACTACTCTAGAGAGAATAGACCCTCAACAGTTTAGCTGGATTGTAAAAGGGACTGGGTGAACTGCTGGAGGAAAGGCGTTGGCAGCTATTGAGCAGGGGAGTCTGAGATGCAGCCTCTGAATGAGACCTCCTAGACATTATGTGCTGGAGGTTGTAAGTAAGAGAGAAAAGTGGGGGAAAAAACCCTGGTCTTACCCAGTTCACTCTTTTTCAACATCTATGGTGTAACACTGGCCTATTTGGTGTGCTATAGGTCATTGGTTAGGGCCCATCATGGAAAACTATAAGCCTCCCTTAATAAGGGAGGTCACTGGGGACCCGCCAGCTGACTAAAACGAAAACAGGAATGGGAAGGAGGTCATAGATTAACAACAAGGGAGCTGGAAGGGGGACACCCGCCAGCGCCCCTGAATGAGTGGGGGGAGCCCGCGGCCCCCACCCCAGGAGGACGGCCGCACGGCCAGGGGCAAGGTGGCCGGGAAGCCGGAGGCAGGCGGGCTGTGCTCCGGGGGAGGCTGCTGGAGCCCACGGGGCGGATGCAGGGTGCGAATTAGGGGGGCTGCGCCCCCCCGTAACAGACGGAGCCTCCCTGTAAGATTTGAAAATCATAATCGGGGGGAGGGGGGGCTCCTTCCCCTCGGTGGACCCTCTTAATCAATGAACGGCTTCACTGCTTTTCTCCGCAGGCCCCGCCCCGCCCGCGCGGGAAGATGCAGCTGGAGGCGCTGAGCCCCGCCCCCCGTGACGTCAGCAGGCAGCCGCGGGGTCCGGCTCGGCCCCCCCGGCGGTGACGCTCCCGG